TATATATATATATAGTGTTTGTGTGTGTGTGTGTGTCGTGCAGAGTGCGCATTCTCAAACTCAGTACGGCACTGCGTACGACACTGCAGTTATGCGATAAGAAGGTTCCATGGAAGAGACCACCCACCATTGTTCACGCTGGCTCTATGAAGCAACTTTTTGCTATTTTTGGTGTGTCAAGACGTACTTACTTTTATTAAATACATCATATAAGATATTGTATAGATATATTGTATAAGATATTGTACATATAAATATTGTATAGATACCAACCATTACGTTATTACAGTACATATTCATGAAGAACAATTTCTTTAAAATAATAACTTAATAACGATAATAATATAATAATAACCTTCTATCCATCAAGACGAAAGAAAAAAAGAGAGATTTTCATCGCCAACGTCCATACCACGTTGAATGGCCAAGTGTGGCAGAGTCGGGCGCGGTTAGTACTTGGACGGGTGACCGCCTGGGAACCCCGCGTGACGTTGGCGGCGACAATTTTGAAAGTTTTGCTACTCACAAAGTCAAACTGCACGGTAAAAGTGTATTGAGCATTCTTTTACTTCTATTTTAGAAATTGTTGTATGTTAAAAACCAGTTCTCCTAAAATATAACTTATTCACTTTGAAGAAATATCTGGTTGATCCCATGTTTTTCAGTTAAAATTGGTAGAGTTTAGACCAAACTCTTTGAGTTAATGTTATTTGGGCCCTGAAAAAACAAACAAAAATTAGTTGTGTTATTTACACGAATACAAAAGCAATTTCATTGACAAAACTAAAAAAATATCATTGATAGTTACACTACAATAAAAGATAAAAACATGGATAATTGCAAAGTGTATTTTTATAGCTTTAATGAGTGTTGGGCGTGAGAAAAGTAATTCAGGTGTCCACCCACAAATTACCAAAATCTCTTGATAACGAATAGATCTATGAGATTATAAAATAGTTGCGAAACGTTTTACTACCTCCTGTAATTCCTACCTTCATGTCCTGAATTCAATATAATAAAAAAAATCCTTAGATGCACAGAAGTTTTAGGAGAGATTAATTTTACTTTCTCGCCTAGAGACATAATTGTGCACCAGAAAACTGAGAATTTTCGTCACACAAACACAAATAATTATAGCCGAACCCTGGTAACTAACCCTGGAACCCTGGAACATCTTGTTCCTTTTTGTCTTCTTTCTCGTTTTACTGAATCTAAAACGAGAACAAAAAGATTGGCGGCCCCAATACGGAAGGGAGGAGGTCCTCCGGCGCTGTTGTGATGGGATGGATGAGAAAGGACAAGCAGCAGCCAACGGATCGCGCAACACCGCGAAACAGTATCTGCCGTTCAGGAGTTTTGAGGAGGTCTACAGCAGACCGACGGTCCCCATTCGATACTGCAACATTCGCTTGCCGCGCGCTCTATCAGAGTTTCTCTGAACTTGTAGCTCTTGCGTCAAGTATTCAGCGCACTCTGGACGGAAAGCATTCCATCATCATAAGACACGTCTGGCTCTAAGGAATAGTAAGTACATTGAACAGGGATACAGCAATTGTATATTCTTCTGTGGGGCTGCCATCGGCACGTACAGTTCGGTGCGCGTCGGTCTGGTTTGCACTGATTACACCGACATTCCCTGATTGTACTGAAATATGGTATTGGGCTATTATACCATTTCATGTTTTTTTCCTTACGGTAATATAGTTTCGTATTCTCAAGAGGTTTCAAAGTACCGACATTAGTTGCCCCTTTGACAACTGAATTGTCGTGCCATCTAACTAAGAGAATCTCGTTATCTTTGTCCTTCATGTGGTCATAAGTTCCTTTACTTATAATATCTTATGAAACGAAAATAATATTATTATAAGTGCAATTTTTGTTTTCCTTCATTTAGATGTTCCCCTGTAAATCCACAAAAAAAAAAAATTAGTCTCAAGGACTCTCTCCGTCCGTCGGTCCTTCCGTCGGTCCGTCCGTCGGTCCGACCGTCGGTCCGTCCGTCGGTCTGTCCGTCGGTCCGTCCGTCCGTCGTTTCGTCCGTCGTTCCGTCCGTCGGTAGCTCCGTCGGTTGGTCCGTCGGTCCGTCCGTCGGTCCGTCCATCGGTCCGTCCGTCGCTCCATCCGTCGGTCCGCTCGTCGGACCGTCCGTCGGTCTGTCCGTCGGTCAGTCCGTCGGTCCGTCCGTCGGTCCGTCCGTCGGTCCGTCCGTCAGTCCGTCGG